TATCTATCTATCTATCTATCTATCATCTATCTATCTATCTATATCATCTATCTATCTATCTATCTATCTGTCTATCTATCTATCTATCTATCTATCTATCTATCTATCTATCTATCATCTATCTATCTATCTATCTATCATCTATCTATCTATCTATCTATCTATCTATCTATCTATCTATCTATCTATCTATCTATCTATCTATCTATCTATCTATCTATCTATCTATCTATCTATCTATCTATCTATCTATCTATCTATCTATCTATCTATCTATCTATCTATCTATCTATCATCTATCTCTATCTATCATCTATCTATCTATCTATCTATCTATCTATCTATCTATCTATCATCTATCATCTATCTATCATCTCTTTGAGCTTTATTGTATTATTTTCCCCTCCCCCCCATTTTTCTTCTCCCCCACCTTCTCTTTCTTTCCTCCTCTCCTCCTTTCTACCTCTTCTTTTTTCTGCATTATTTAGAATTATTATTTTAGACTAGTCGGGTCCCCCCTTTTTCCTTTTCCTCTGCACCCCCTTTTCTCTCTCTTTCTTTAGTCCTCTTCTTTTTTTCTGTAATTTTTATTATTATTTTAGACTAGTTGTGTTTCTATTGCATCCTATGTTGAAAACACTTAATAAAACCGAAGAGGCGTCAGATGCCTTCCACAATTAACCTTCTTTAACGACAAGGAGCAGGGAGGGTACCTATTATACCCTCTCTGACAATTCACGTTTAGGAACTTGCTTTCGTACCTGGTCACGCCACTGAATCCATCTGGCTTAGGGCTGTCAGCTCTGACTGGCAGCCTCCCTCCAGGGTGATGGGGATTGAAGCTGGTACATTCTGTGTGCAAAGAATGAGATTCACCCCTGAGCCCTGGGCCTTTCCCCTAAAGAACAGAGAAGTTATTGCCATCTTCATAATAAACAGCTGGTTTTGGAAATTAGCTAGCTGCCTTCTACTGAGTCAGACCATTGGTCTGGGCTAGGGATGTCAACACCGACTGGCAGCCACCCTCCAGGGTTTCAGACAGGGAGTCTCTCACAGTCCTATCTGGAGATGTCGGGTTTCGAATCTGGGGCCCTCTGCATGCAAAGCAAGGCTCTACCAATGATCTACAGTCCTTCCTTCTATAACAGGGGTCTGCAACCCGTGGCTCCGGAGCCGCATGTGGCTCTTTTACACCTTTGCTGTGGCTCCGGGGCGGATACTAGCGAGGGGAGGAGGCGCATTGTGCGCCCCGACACTCCCCACTCTGGCGGGCGCTGTACTGGCTGTGACATCGCATGGGGGCGGTGCGTGCATTAGTCACGCACCGTCCTGACATCACCTTCCCGCCCACCCGCTACATTGTAAGGGCCATGTACGCTGGTCACTGCATTGAAAGGGGGCATGTACGCTGGTCACTGTTTTGAAGGGGAGTGAAGAACACACACACAAAAAAAGGTAACTTGTTAATTTAACGTTTATTTCTATGAGGAGGAGTAATTCTGAGGGGTCAAACAAAGAAATAATAATAAAAAGTGACAAAAACGTTATTTTTATAATGACGAGTTTTGCGGCTCCCAGTTTTTTTTTCCTTCGGAAACGGGTCCAAGTGGCTCTTTTTGTCTTAAAGGTTGCAGACCCCTGTTCTATAAGAAACAGGCTGCTGTCTTACCCTCCCAATTTTCAGAGATGAAAAACCTGCTTTTTCTCTGCCAAAACCTGTTCCCTCTTGTGGCTTCTGAGGAAGAGAGGTATAAATAAGCTGGTCATGAGGTTCCTTTGAAAAAACAAGCAAAAACCCCTTTCAGGATGTTTCGTTGCACAATGAATGCGGTTGCGCTTGGTGCCACTGAAACCCACTTTGCAAGTATTTCTGTTTTTGTTTTTAAATACAGATAAGCAGCTAAGCAGGGTGGAGACATTTAACATCTGATTTGTACCTGCTCTTTTATCACAGCTGCATGAAACGAGGGGACGTGCAGGGACCTGCAACCAAATGTTGCAGCGTGGTGAAGTTGCTTCTGTGTCAGAGTCCAGCTGTTTTGTTCTGTCCTTTCCTCCACATTTCCCACTCTCCTAGGAGCCGCAGCTGAGAGCTGAGTGCAGGGTGGGGACCAAAGGTTGACAAAGCCACTCCCGACATAAGGGGGGGGGGTTTGTGGGCTCACGCCCACCATCATACGCGCGGGGCTGGCTGCGGCCCTGCGTAACCTGGGGAATCCTCGGGCCGCATCATCCCCTGGGCCAGCCAATCAGCTGGCTGCAGGGGCGGGGCTAGGGTCATTTAAGGTCGGCGCGGCCCGAGATCGCCCCTTTCCTTTCCCGTTCCAGCTGCGGTTTCCCACCCACCCTCCCTCTAGGTTTTCCCTCTGACTTTGCTATGGACCTCGGTTGGTCGCCACAAGGGGCCTGGTAGGAGTTTTTCCACTTTGCTAATTGGCATTGATTTAAAGCCATTTGGTTTTTTCGCCTACCTCATAGCAAATCGTCACAACGCCTTTGGTTTTGGCGGTTAGGCATTGGTAGGGGTATTGTTATGCAGATGAGTCAGGGGGAGGAGCGCCATCACCTCCCCCAAATATTTAAGGGTAGTCCTACAAAGGATTCCGGGGGGCGTTGCCTCGTCCAAAACCTATGGAGGCTAGGGCCTAAAGCGCCCCCCCCCCGAGTGGTGACCCCTCGGGGAGCGCCTAGGGATGTGCATCTCAGGGGCTGGTGTTGGTGTTAACCCTTTCCGGTTCTATGCCGGATAGTCTGATAGGACCAATGCCTAAAGCCAATACCACTCTTACCTGTAACCAATAAAGTTGTGGCCATTTTCCGCCCATTAACCTAAAATTCTGGTGTCCTGTGTCTTTATTTATCCCAATTGGGGGGGGGGTGTGGGAATCTCCACGCAAACTACCCCAGAAGGAGCACAACGTGTACCCCCCCACCAGAGGTACTGCCCCTCTCCAAGCTAGGGCTGTCATGCACCCAGAATTTCCCAGACATATCCGGGATTCATTGGTCGAAAATAGTGTCTGGGCCGAATTTGTGAAAAATGGGTAAAAATGTCCAGGAAAACCCAGGCGTATGGCATCCCATAAGTGATGGTTTTTTTCTGGAGAATTTCTTTAAAAATAGCTCAAAAACTGCCCTGAGTTTTAGGAGGAGGAAGATGGCATGCAGGGCCAATGAACCAGCGTCCATTGCCAATGAGCGATGGGCAATCACCACTTTTCACTGCCTTCTAGAGATCCAGGCGAGAAGGGTTGTGCTTATTCATCATACAAGTATTTCTATACCGCTATAGCATAATTTTTAAAAAAATTAAAAAGCAGAGACATTACCTTGCCAACAAAGGTCCGTATAGTTAAAGCTATGGTTTTCCCAGTAGTGATGTATGGAAGTGAGAGCTGGACCATCAAGAAGGCTGATCGCCAAAGAATGGATGCTTTTGAATTCTGGTGCTGGAGGAGACTCTTGAGAGTCCCATGGACTGCAAGAAGATCAAACCTCTCCATTCTGAAGGAAATCAGCCCTGAGTGCTCACTGGAAGGACAGATCCTGAAGCTGAGGCTCCAATACTTTGGCCACCTCATGAGAAGAGAAGACTCCCTGGAAAAGACCCTGATGTTGGGAAAGATGGCGGGCACAAGGAGAAGGGGATGACAGAGGACGAGATGGTTGGACAGTGTTCTTGAAGCTACCAGCATGAGTTTGACCAAACTGCAGGAGGCAGTGGAAGACAGGAGTACCTGGTGTGCTCTGGTCCATGGGGTCACAAAGAGTCAAACACAACTAAATGACTAAACAACAACAACATAGCATAATTTTGAAAAAGAATATAATAAAAGACATAGCAAACGTTGACGACGTTAAAAAATGTCACCTTTGCCGCTCTGCAAAGTGGAGGTGGCGTTTTGCTGGGGGCGAGGATAGGAAAATGCTCTAATGATGAAATATGGAGACCTGGAAACCAGATATTCCATATGTCTGAATTCTCACACACAGCTTAAAATGGGTGCAGAAACTCAGGCTTGAGGGCCAAACATCTCTAAACATCTCTACCTGGCCCTCAAGACTCTCCTCAGGCCACCACCCCCCACTTCACACCCTCCTTGAATGTTTCTGCCTGGCTGGGATGTGTCTCTGAATTCTGATCTCGCCTCTTGCATGCCTGGGTGGAGGATAGAGAGGGCTGTAGAAAATAGCTCCACCCCCTTTTGCTTGTGGCCCCGCCCACCGCTGGCACATGGCCCCTGGATATTTGCCCACGAAATAAATAAATTAAGGTCTTATAAATGTTCATAAATGCACCAAGCAAACACGTATATAAATATATAAACCACATGTCTGAAGCAGCACAGGAAAGCAGTCTTGGAGCCATTTTGGCTCCCAAACTGACCAAATGTTTTCTCTGCAAGGTCAAAGGAAAATGAAAAAGCCTCCCCATTGTCTTTTCATTCACAAAACCTGTCTTAAGGGTATGTCTGTGTATGAATAGGGTGAGCCTGTGACCTGGCTCAGGAACTAAGTACCGTATTTGTCACTACAAAAGACTGGCCAGGCTCCCCAGGGTATCCAATCAAGTGACCATTAAACAGGTAACCTGGCAGACAGGAGATAAACAACAGCAGGAGGTAAACAACACACTCAGATTTCTGCTGTAGACCGCCCTTTCTGTGATGTAGGTGTGATGTTTCTGGGGGTGGTCTTGGACTCCAGGGCGGGCAATTTAAAATGTCTATATAAGGGCGGGCACACCTTTGTCCGGGGTCCTCCTCCTTTCCTGCGGGTGAGGGAAGCACCCTGTTGCAACAGTTCAATAAAGATCAGGCTTACTAGCTGCTTTGCTTCTCAATATTCTCTGGTTGGCCTCTGTTATTTTTCTCTGACCGATGGAGAACCTACAAAGGAATCTCTAAGGGCTCTTCTCCCAGAAGTGAATGTGGTCCTCAGGCTGAAAAAGCTTCCTCAGCCTTGGCTTAAAAATTGCCAGCCGAAAGAACACACACACACACAATTTGAATTCTCTTTATTGCTGTATGGTCAGCACCTCCTGGCAGGTTTTTGGTCAGGTTGGTGTAACAGTGAAAGAAGTCCCCTTGGAAACGCTGACCTCATCTCTTCCGGTTGTTCTCATCTGAGCACTCCTGGAAGAACTCATTGCACAGGGAAGCGGTGAGAGCCAAGAAGACGGCATACTCCTGGAAATCCAGTTCCTCATCTCCATTCTCATCTAGTTTCTTCATCAAGTACTTGAACCCGGGTTCGTCTATCTTGCCCTGTGGGAAGGAGAAGAGAGTAAAGCCGATTTCCTTGCATAGTACCGATGCCCCAGGTGTGTGTGCCTGTGTCGAATTCAGGTTTTAAGGCATGAAGTGGGAGATTCAACAAAAGATCTGAAACAACAACTTTATTCAGCTATGCCTGGCAATGACGCTGGGAGTGGTCCACTGGAAAAAGCTTCCCTCCAGGAACCTGCTCTCCTTAACTTCAGTTCCATTAATTCATGAGATCATGGTTCAGTGGGTGAAGCACCTGCTTTGCACCCAGAGGCTTCCAGGTTCAATCCCAATACATCTTTGGGAAGTGCTGGGAGAGAGCCACTTCTGCCAGTTAGTATGCTAAGATAGATGGTCTATTTTTTTTTAAAAAAAATCATATTTATTGAAATTTCCAAAAAGTCCAAAACATGAAAAAGAAAAGAAAAAGAAAGAAAAAAGCATTTACATTTAAAGCCCTACTTTCATTAACATCTTTCCAGGACTTCCCCACCCCTCCCCTTCTTGTATTCCATTTCCATTAAATTAGTTCGACAAGTTCTTACCCCAAATTTTAAACTTATTATATTTAGCCCATTATTCAATTTAGTTCATCTTATATAACCACTTTCCCTTTATATTCCACCGTCTTTCAACATTAAATCCCCCCCCTAAGGTCGACCCCAGTTCCCTTCCACGAATTCCCCTTTTTAGTACACACAACAAAACGAAATAAAGAAATAGAAAAATTCAGAATATAATTGTACACCCTTTGGATTCCAGATCTCCCTCCCCCCTTTCCCGGTTTCGATCCCCAATGTCCATCAGTCTATCTGCTATCAGCCTGGAGACCTCACATCCATGGCCAAATCTCTCTCAGCTCCACTTTGCCGGTTTTTTTTGGTAATCTTCAGTTTCAAACACCCAATCTTGGAGAAGCTCTATCTCAAGAAAGTCCATTTTTCTTCCATCCAGACCGCTATATTTAAGAATAAAACTCGAATTCTGTTTCTTAATCCTTTTAAGTCTGAATGTCCCATATGCTCCAACTTCCAGCTTAGTCCAATTCTTGTTTTCCTTTGTATCCTCCCTGACAGGCCGATAGATGGTCTAGTTCAGGGGTCTGCAACCTTTAAGACAAAAAGAGCCACTTGGACCCGTTTCCGAAGGAAAAAAAACTGGGAGCCGCAAAACTCGTCATTATAAAAATAACTTTTTTGTCACTTTTTTTATTATTTCTTTGATTGACCCCTCAGAATTACTCCTCCTCATAGAAATAAACGTTAAATTAACAAGTTACCTTTTTGTGTGTGTGTGTTCTTCACTCCCCTTCAAAACAGTGACCAGCGTACATGCCCCCTTTCAATGCAGTGACCAGCGTACATGCCCCTTACAATGTAGCGGGCGGGCGGGAAGGTGACGTCGGGACGGTGCGTGACTAACGCACGCACCGCCCCCATGCGACGTCACAGCCAGTACAGCGCCCGCCAGAGTGGGGAGTGTCGGGGCGCACAATGCGCCTCCTCCCCTCGCTAGTATCCGCCCTGGAGCCGCGGCAAAGGTGTAAAAGAGCCACATGCGGCTCCGGAGCCGCGGGTTGCAGACCCCTGAATTAGATGAACTCTGTACAAGGAAGCTTCTGTGCTCCAAAGCTTTGCAAGTTCCAAGTACTCGATCCAGTTCCCTTATCCTTGACTTAGACCCTAAAGATGCATGGCAACATTATTTCCATTGTTTAGGGGATTACGTTGGTTTTTGTTGCTGCTGCTGTTACTGATATTAACTTTTGTATCTTTATTTTTAGATCTTAGAACGATACACATGGAAATGGTTCAATTACGGTCATGTACTTTTTGAGGGACGTGGGTGGCGCTGTGGGTAAAACCTCAGCGCCTAGGGCTTGCCAATCGTATGGTCGGCGGTTCGAATCCCCGCGGCGGGGTGAGCTCCCGTCTTTCGGTCCCAGCTCCTGCCCACCTAGCAGTTCGAAAGCACTCTTAAGTGCAAGTAGATAAATAGGTACCGCTTTATAGCGGGAAGGTAAACGGCGTTTCCGTGTGCTGCGCTAGCTCGCCAGAGCAGCTTCGTCACGCTGGCCAGGTGACCCGGAAGTGTCTGCGGACAGCGCTGGCCCCCGGCCTCTTGAGTGAGATGGGCGCACAACCCTAGAGTCTGTCAAGACTGGCCCGTACGGGCAGGGGTACCTTTACCTTACTTTTTGATACGTTTTATTTATTGTCTGTGGCTACTTTTACTATGTTTCTAGTTATGTATATCTTTTCATGTCAGGGATAGCTCAGTCGGTAGAGCACGATACTCTTATTCTCAGGACTGTGGGTTCGAGCCCTACGTTGGGCAAAAGATTCCTGTATTGCCGGGGTTGGACTAGATGACCCTCGGGGTCCCTCCCAACTGTACGATTCTATGTTGTAAGCTGCCTTGAGCATGGTTTTAGCAATGGAAAGGCGGCATATGAATAAAATGATGAGAATGATTATCACCTCCGCCCACCCACTGCCACCACCTCGGAAGGGAAGACTTTGATACGATACAATAATCCTTATTGTCATTGTCCCATACAGAACAACGAAATTGAAAAAATCTACATCAGTCATTCAAAAACCCACAAGCTTGCTATCCCAGCTATCCCAGCCTGGTTAGCCCCTAAAAACTCTGATACCCCATAATTGAATACAATATACTCACATAAAGACTACCTTAAAGGTAAAGGTAAAGGGACCCCTGACCATTAGGTCCAGTCGTGGCCGACTCTGGGGTTGTGGCGCTCATCTCACTTTACTGGCCGAGGGAGCCGGTGTACAGCTTCCGGGTCATGTGGCCAGCATGACTAAGCCGCTTCTGGCGAACCAGAGCAGCGCATGGAAACGCCGTTTACCTTCCTGCCAGAGCGGTACCTATTTATCTACTTGCACTTTGACGTGCTTTTGAACTGCTAGGTGGGCAGGAGCAGGGACCGAGCAATGGGAGCTCACCCCGTCACGGGGATTTGAACCGCCGACCTTCTGATCGGCAAGTCCTAGGCTCTGTGGTTTAATCCACAGCGCCACCTGCGTCCCTAAAGACTACCTTACACTGCGTTTGAAACCAAAATCGCATTTGGATAGAAACTGTTTCTCAGATGGCTAGTCCTAGTCTTTATAACCCTGTACAGTCATATCTCGTGTTGCATTTGCTTCAGGTTGAGTGTTTTCAGGTTGCGTCTCACAGCAACCCAGAAGTACAGGAAAGGGTTACTTCTGGGTTTTGCCGCTCGCGCATGCGCAGATGCTCAAAATGATGTCACGCGCATGAGCAGAAGCGGCGAATCGCGACCCGTGCATGTGCAGATGCAGGTTGCGTTCTGCTCAGGTTGTGAACGGGGCTCCGGAACGGATCCCATTCGCAACCAGAGGTACCACTGTACCTTCTTCCAGAAGGCAGAAGCTGAAAGAGATCATTTCCGGGGTGTGCACTATCCTGCGCTATCTCTGCAGCTTTCTTATGGCACCTGGAAGTGTAGATTTGATCCAAGGTGGGAAGAGTGCACCCAATTATTCTCTCCGCAGTCTTTGCAACCCTGGACAGCATTGTTTTTCCCCTGACCGTCCAGCTCCCAAACCAGACACACAGACCAGAAGTTAATACACTCTCCACATTACAATGGGAAAATGCCATCGCCGTAGGATCTCACCCTGACAAAGGTGGGGAGTTCGTGGAGAAGCAGCTCCCTCATCTCAGCCTTGTTGAGCTTAAGCCGGTCTCCTTCCTTGCTGGAATATTTGTGGAAGGTGTTCACCAGAACCCCCAGGCACTCCTCAAGGGGAGCTTGCATCTCGATGTCTGGAAGGGGGGGGGGAAGGAAGATGCAGAGAGAGGAGTAGGATTAGAACTCAGCCCTCAGTGGTTACAAAACTGGACTTGCAGGCTAGATAAATTCATGGAGGGAGAGGCTGTCAATGGCTGTCAGTCATGATGGCTGTGCTTTTTCTCCACTGTCAGAGGCAGTACAGTGGTACCTCGGGTTACAGACGCTTCAGGTTACAGACTCCGCTAACCCAGAAAGAGTACCTTGGGTTAAGAGCTTTGCTTCAGGATGAGAACAGAAATATCACGGCGGCGGCGCGAGGCCTCATTAGCTAAAGTGGTACCTCAGGTTAAGAACAGTTTCAGGTTAAGAACAGACCTCCAGAACAAATTAAGTTTTTAACCCAAGGTACCACTGTAATGCTTCTGAACCTCTGTTGCTGCAAACTGCAGGAGTAATAATAATAATAATAATAATAATAATAATAATAATTTATTTATATCCCACTCATCTGGCTGTATTTCCCCAGCCACTCTGGGCGGCTCCCCACAGAATATTAAAAACACGACAAAACATTTAAAGCTTCCCTAAACAGGGCTGCCTTCAGATGCCTTCTTCTAAAAGTCAGATAGTTGTTTATTTCCTTGACATCTGACGGGAGGGCGTTCTGCAGGGTGGGCGCCACCACCGAGAAGACCCTCTGCCTGGTTCCCTGTAACTTCGCTTCTCTCAGTGAGGGAACCGCCAGGAGACCCTCAGAGCTGGACCTCAGTGTCTGGGCTGAACGATGGTGGTGGAGATGCTCCTTCAGGTATACTGGGCCAAGGCATACTGGGCCGAGGGGAGAGTGTTCTTGCACTCGGGGCCTGCTGAGGGTTTCCCACAGACATCTGGCTGGCCACTGTGAGAACAGGATGCTGGACTAGATGGGCCACTGACCTAATCCTGCAGGGTGATTCTTGTGTCCTTATGCAACAAAATAAGACGTGGGTAGCTAAGATGCGCTGGTCTCCTTGCAACAAGGAAAGGCTTCTAGCTCGGTGGTTGAGCCCTTGCTCTGCATGAAGAATGTCCTGGGTTCAATCGCCAATGCATAGCTGTCAACTTTTCCCTTTTCTTGCGAGGAATCCTATTCGGAATAAGGGAATTTCCCTTAAAAAAAGGAAAACATTGACAGCTACGCCCCAATGGCATCTCCAGGCTAAAGCCTGGAATGTGCTCTGCCTGAAACCCTAGAGAGCTGCTGCCAGTCAGTGTAGACAGCACTGCGCTAGGCGAACCAATGATCTGATTCAGTAGAAGGCAGTTTCCTACGTTCTGCCTCCTGGATCTTGCTGAACTCCAACTCCCACGAGCCCCAGACAACATGGCGAGTAACCAAGGGACAGTGGGAGCAGTAGTCTATCAACATCTGGGGGTGCCCCATAGACTTCCTCTATCACTGTCCTAGACCAATCATGTCCCAACCAATCAGGGATCACGATTGAATGCACTTAGTAAAGCAAAGATGGGGAACTTGTGCCCTTCTAGTTTTTGTTGGACTCCATCTCCCTGCCGCCCTGGCCAGCACAGCTGCTTGTTTTTAGAAGATGGTGAAGAGAAGGGGGGGAATGACTCACCCAGCTAAGTAGAGGGAGAAACCCAGCCGTATGAAAGTACGCAGTAAACTCAGCCGAATGTTTCTTTTCTGGCGCCCAGCAAACAACTGCTCTGCATAGCCTCCGCTTCCAGAAATGCCGGTGTCTCGTGCTCAGTTCTGCAGCGGGAACCCTTGACTCCGAGCCACCTCTTTGCTCCTAGCAAGCCCTGAGTTCGAGGCTCCTCTTGTCCCTTTCGCCAGCAGAGCCTGAAGCAGAGAGAGGGAAAATATCCCTTTTTAAAAAACGAACGCTTCTGCTGTCAGAGTGACTCCAAAAGCCTAGCATGTGTTAGGAATGTTGTAGATAGAAGCCTAGATTTCAACTGGGACATGTTTATTATTCCCATCCCTGCAGTGCTTACGAAATAATAAACTGGATCTGCCGAAAGTCTGTCTCTGAAGCCTGGATAGGCAGCCTGTGCGTGTGGGAACATGACTCAAAGGAAGGGCTCAGCGACAGGGTAAAACCTTTGCCTGCAGATGGCCCCAGGTTTGGTCCCTGCCACCTCCAGGTTGGACTGGGAAAGACTATATTTTCCAACATTTTTCCGATGAAAATAGGGATGTCCTGTTCAATGATGATGATGATGATGATGATGATAATAATAATTTTTATTTATACTCCACCATCCCCAGCCAAGGCCAGGCTCAGGGCGGCTAACAAGCAATAATAAAAACAAGTTGAATGAAAAACAAGATTAAAATACAACATTAAAATATTGAAACATTAAAATATTAAAATGCAGCCTCATCACAGAAGGAGAAAGGAAAAAGAAAAAAGAAAGAGGGGGAGGGAATCAAATTGGCTCCAAGCCAAAGGCCAGGCGGAACAACTCTGTCTTACAGGCCCTGCGGAAAGAAATCAGATCCTGCAGGGCCCTGGTCTCATGAGGCAGAGCGTTCCACCAGGCCGGAGCCAGTGTTGAAAAGGCCCTGGCTCTGGTTGAAGCTAATCTAACTTCCTTAGGGCCCGGGACCTCTAGGGTGTTGATGATGATGATGATGATGATGATGGTACTCCGCCCATCATCACTGTGGGTTGCCGCAGCCACTATGGGCGGCTTCCAACATACGGTATATAAAAACATAATAAAACGGCAAGAGTATTGTTAGCCCAGAAATGGAAGCAAGAAGAAATTCCGATGAAAGAAGAATGGCAGACGAAATTAATGGACTATGCAGAATTGAACAAAATGACGGGAAGGATTTGAAACCTGTGGGACCAGAGATTTACAGAAGATTGGAAGAAGTATATGAATTATTTGAAGAGCAACTGTAATCAACAAATTACGCTAGTAGGACTACAAGAAGTTTTGTAAGGAGAAATATACGAAGTGTTACAAAGTAGAAAAAGATAGAGATATTGGTTATGAGTTTGAAATGTCATAGGGAATATAAGAAATGCATACTAAGAGATTAGATTGGGAAATTTTCAGACAGGACTGATGGAAGTCAAAAAATTGAATAAGATGTAAAAGTATGTTTAATTACTGTTGAAAATGATATGTGTGTGTGTGTATAAATAAAAATATAACATAATAAAACATTAAACATTTAAAAACTGTCCCTATACAGGGTGCCTTCAGATGTCTTCTAAAGGCTGCATAGTTACTTATCTCCTTCGCTTGTGGGGGTTGCATAATTCCATACCCTCCAACATTTCTCCAGTGAAAATAGGGACGTCCTAAGGAAAAGTGATTGATTGATGCTTTTGAATTCTGGTGCTGGAGGAGACTCTTGAGAGTCCCATGGACGGCAAGAAGATCAAACCTATCCATTCTGAAGGAAATCAGCCCTGAGTGCTCACTGGAAGGACAGATCCTGAAGCTGAGACTCCAATACTTTGGCCACCTCATGAGAAGAGAAGACTCCCTGGAAAAGACCCTGATGTTGGGAAAGATGGAGGGCACAAGGAGAAGGGGACGACAGAGGATGAGATGGTTGGACAGTGTTCTCAAAGCTACCAGCATGAGTTTGACCAAACTGCGGGAGGCAGTGGAAGACAGGAGTGCCTGGCGTGCTCTGGTCCAGGGGGTCACGAAGACTAGGACACGACTAAACGACTAAACAACAACAACAACAACAAGGAAAAGTGTGACATTCCGGGATCAAATCAGAAACTGGAACGGCTTCTGTAAATCCCTGGGAAACAGGGACACTTGGAAGGTCTGAAGGCTCCGTCTGAAACCATGGACAGCTGCTGCCGGACAGATAGACTACAATTCCCATCAGCCCTGAGACCCTAACTGTTGGCCATGCTGCCTGGGGGCCAACCTCATCTGGAGGTCACCAGAAGGAAGCCTGTTGTGTTCATTCCAAAGTATTGCATCGGGTAAGTAGAGCTTTGTATGCAGGTTTCACCCCCCAGGAGCTCTAGGTGGGACCAGGAATGCCGCCCAGCCTGAAGCCCTGTAAAACCACTGCCGGCCAGTGCAGACAGTTCTGAGCTAGATGGACCAGTGGTCTGACTCAGCATAGGGCAGCTTCTTATGTTGCTCTGTCGTAGGGGAAGGCCTCAGCGTCTATTCTGCATTCAGAAGGTTTGAGGTTCAGTCCCTCCAGGGACGCAGGTGGCACTGTGGGTTAAACCACAGAGCCTAGGACTTGCTGATCAGAAGGTCGGTGGTTCGAATCCCCACAATGGGGTGAGCTCCTGTTGCTCGGTCCCTGCTCCTGCCAACCTAGCAGTTCAAAAGCACGTCAAAGTGCAAGTAGATAAATAGGTACCACTCTGGCGGGAAGGTAAACGGGGTTTCCGTGCGCTGCTCTGGTTCGCCAGAAGCGGCTTAGTCATGCTGGCCACATGACCCGGAAGCTGTACGCCGGCTCCTTCGGCCAGTAAAGCGAGATGAGCGCCGCAACCCCAGAGTCGGCCACAACTGGACCTAAGGGTCAGGAGTCCCTTTACCTTTACCCTCCAGATAGGACTGCCATTGTACTCATGGTGAGCTACGATTTCTGTTGGGAATCCTTGATAAACCCAGTAACCGCAGCCCTTTCCTTTGAGAACATTTCCGAGTGCTGTTCCCTCAACCCCCAGTCCCAGCTGGAGACACAGCCTCAGGCCTTCGAGTCGAAACCTGCTGAACAGGTGTGTGAAAAGAGGCCCGCCCAGGTATCTGGACTGTTCTCAGGTTGCCAGGCTGCTTCGTGCCTTGGGTGGTTCATTTCCTGCGTTGCTGTGGTCTGTTGCCTGCCTATATGCACTGAGATGGTCACCTTCCAACCTCACCCCCTGCTTTAATTGTAGACACCAAATAAGAGTAAACAGCAAGCATCTCCTGTGTCCCCCCCCCCATCCACACAGACATACAACTCAAATACTCATTACTGCCTCCATCCCAGAATATTCTGCAACCCACTAAATCCGGTAGAAAATCTGGAATGGATTATCTGGTAATCAGAGTTTTCTTTTTCTGGAATCACGGCTAGGAATATAACAATAATAATTTTATTATTTATACCCCGCCCACCTGGCTGGGTTTCCCTAGCCACTCTGGGCGGCTTCCAGAACTTATAAAAACATAATAAAATGTCAAACATTAAAAACTTCCCGATACAGGGCTGCCTTCAGATGTCTTCTAGAAGTTGTGTAGTTCCTTTATCTCCTTGAAATCTGATGGGAGGGCGTTTCACAGGAACGGGCAGAACGGGATCTTCATCTCGCACATGGCCGCAGAGCCAAAGGTTCTCCAATGTGCCATTCAACAGTGAAAGCCTATAAACCAGCGGTTCTCAACTTGTGGGTCCCCAGATGTTGTTGGACTACAACTCCCATCATCCCTGAGCTCTGGCCTTGCTAGCTAGGGGTGATGGGAGTTGTAGTTCATCAACATCTGGGGACACACAGGTTGAGAAAGGCTGCTATAAACGGACAACTCTGCCAATGCCTCATCACCGTTCACAGCAAGAGAGGGGTTAAATAGCGCTTTACCCTGTCACCTGTCACCTGACTTGCACAGGGGGTGGAGCTAACCCCTGTGCTCCCACCACCCCTTTCTCAATCCATGCTACTAGTCCCTGTGAGAATTTTTTTGTCACCAACCAATTTTCTGTGAATTACGGAATCCTCTACATAAGGTGCCCTGACAAGTAACCACCAAGGGGAAAAAAGGACAGGAAGGTCAGGGTTAATATTAAAAAGAAAATTTTATTGTTATGAATTTAAATTGGAAGACACTGCAAGTGTGTTCCTCTAGGGCTTATTTTTTGGGGAGTGGGCATTTGGGGCAACCCCGAAAGAATTCGTCGAATCCCATCGCCACACAAGCCAGGAAGCACAAGAACTCCTGGAAGTCTATTTCCTGGTCCCGGTTGTGGTCCAGGTCATTCATGATCTTCTGGAATTCTGCCCCGTCCATCCGTTTCTGGGAGCATTGGAAAGAAAAAAGTAAACCGTTAGCTTCAATAATTCAGAGCCTGTTTTTCTCTTCCTTCCTCCTCACCATTTCCTTTCATGCCATGCCATGTATTTTCTTTTTTTCTTTTTTGGTTGTAAAAAGGAGGGTTGGGATTGCATTGGGATTTAAAAAAAAATCTTATGAAATCAACTCTGGGATCCTTTTTGCCAAAGAGTGGAGGTGTTTTAATAATAATAATAATAATAATAATAATTTTAAATAAACAAGATCCACTCAAACAGGCCAAGCAACAGGTACACCGAGAAGGCAGGCAACTAAATAAGTTCCTTTGCACTACTTCCTTGGACATTCCCCTGTTACAAGCCTTTTAATTTTAATTAATTTGTGAATTTAATGAGAAGGGAAAGGAAGAAAAGATGAAACAGAACTTAAAGAAGAAAAATAGAGAAGAGAAAAAATACTAACGATATATAATAAGACACAAACAGTATTACACAGACTGCCATCAGGTCACATTGTGGTTATATTGATCAGCAGCACACAAATCTTAAACTTCATCCAGAATTTACCCTAGATGCCTCTGCATTGGGCAGCTTACATATAAATGGGCCTTTGGGTTCGTCCCTCTAGGACAGTGTTTCCCAACTGGTGTTCCGCGGCACACTAGTGTGCCGCCAGACGTTGCCTGGTGTGCCGCGGGAAAAATTGGCGGGGGGGGGGAATAAAGGGGAAAAAAATTATTCCCCCACCGCCAGGCGTGCGGCTGGGGCGGGGGAAGCCCGAGCTTCCCCCTCCCCCAGAACGGGACCCAGAGCCATGCCGAAGCTGCGCGCTGGGGAGGAGGAAGCCCTCCGCCAGCCTCCAAACCGCTGCGCCTCTCCCGCTGTCCCCCGAGTTTGCAGGGCTGGCGATGGGGAGGAGCAGGCTTCTCCCCCCGCCAGCCTTCTAGCCAAGTCGGGGGACAGCGGCAAGGGCGCGCTGCGCCTCTCCCGCTGTCCCCCGAGTTTGCGGGGCTGGCGACAGGGAGGAGCAGGCTTCTCCCCCCGCCAGCCTTCCAGCCAAGTCGGGGGACAGCGGGATGGCGCGCTGCGCCTCTCCCGCTGTCCCCCGAGTTTGCGGGGCTGGCGACGGGGAGGGGCAGGCTTCTCCCCCCGCCAGCCTTCTAGCCAAGGCGGGGGACAGCGGCAAGGGCGCGCTGCGCCTCTCCCGCTGTCCCCCGAGTTTGCGGGGCTGGCGACGGGGAGGGGCAGGCTTCTCCCCCCGCCAGCCTTCCAGCCAAGTCGGGGGACAGCGGGGATGGCGCGCTGCGCCTCTCCCGCTGTCCCCCGAGTTTGCGGGGCTGGCGACGGGGAGGAGCAGGCTTCTTCCCCCCGCCAGCCTTCTAGCCAAGTCGGGGGACAACGGGAATGGCGCGCTGCGTTTCTCCGCTGTCCCGGATGGCTTTCAAAAGCCTGCCTTCAAAAGCCGCCCGGGACAGCGGAGAAACGCGCTGCCTTTCTCCGCTCTCCCGGGAAGGCAGGCAGGGGGGAGCAAAGACTTTCGCCCCCGCCCACCTTCAGAAGAGGTCCAGGACCTCTTCTGAAGGCGGGCGGGGGGCGAAAATCTTTGTCCCCACTGCCTGCCTTCCCAGGGGCTTTTAAATCGCCCCGGACAGCGGAGAAGTCCTCCGCTGTCCCGGGCGATTTTAAAATGCCGCCCGCCAGCATTTTAAGATTGCCCCAGACAGCGGAGAAGTACTCCGCTGTCCCGGGGTTTTTTAAAATGCTGGGGGTGGGAAGAAAAGCCCTTGTCCCCCCCCCAGCCTTCAGAAGAGGTCGGGGGACAGACTGTCCCCGGACCTGGTCTGAAGGCGGTTTCCCTAGGAACGCATTAATTGATTTTCAATGCATTCCTATGGGAAACCGTGCATTGCAAGACGAAAAACTCGCAAGACGAAGAGACTTGCGGAACGAATTAATTTCGTCTTGCGAGGCACCACTGTATCCGGAGAGGCGGCCTTCAGGCGAGTTTTAATTTTAATTTTCCTTCTCCCACTTAATGCCCCACGCTCGCCCGAGCAGCTTGCAGTCCTCGGTAACCACGGCGACCCGAGGGAGGGGAGGGAACAGGGAAGTCGAGGGCGGCGGCGAGCCGCGATGACGTCAGTGGGCCGCGCCGCCTCGCCCTGGCACGGTGTGAGAGCCCCGGCTAGTGGTGCGAGCTTCAGAATAAGTGGGATCCGCGTGCGCGAGACCGAGATCGCGGGTAAGGAGCTCAGCCCTGGGCAGGAGGAAGCGGGGCCGCGCGTGCGGGCCACATCCCCACAGAGAGCGAGGCTCCCCCGGCCCACCACTCCGGGCAGGTCCACTCGCATGAGGGGGCGGCGATGGGAGTCACGACCGTGAGGCAGGGCTGCCAAGTGTGGCAGAAGAGGACACGGCCGTCGCACCTGTCCTTAGGTAGGAGCTTCTTCCGTGTCGACCTGCTGCCCTAAAGTCTTGGCTTTTTGGCGGTTGGCACAGAAGGAAGGCAAGGGGGAGGGGAAAAAATTGAAACTTACACTTTCGTGCGTCCCTCCCGGCGTGACGCTGCGCGCTGACGTCACGGGGCTGTAATGGTGGTGTGCCTCGAGATTTTTTTCATGAAACAAGTGTGCCTTTGCCCAAAAAAGGTTGGGAAACACTGCTCTAGGACATGGGTAGGCAAACTAAGGCCCGGGGGCCGGATCCGGCCCAATCGCCCTCTAAATCCGTCCCACGGACGGTCTGGGAACCAGCGTGTTTTTACATGAGTAGAATGTGCCCTTTTATTTAAAATGCATCTCTGGGTTATTTGTGGGGCATCGGAATTCGTTCATTTTTTATTTTATTTTTCAAAATATAATCCGGCCCCCCACAAGGGCTGAGGGACAGTGGACCGGCCCCCTGCTGAAAAAGTTTGCAGACCCCTGCTCTAGGATATGACCACAGATTGCCACCAGTACCTTCCCCAAATTTCAGCCACTTACCACTTATCGTTTTCCATCTTAAAGCAAAAAAACACATCTTCAGCATAAAATGCCCCAGAAATGCATTGAGGTGTGTTTATAAAACATAAGAGCCTTTTGGATCAGGCCAACAGCCCATCTAGCTCAGAATCCTGTTCCCACAGTGGCCAATGCAGGCAGGATTCAAGCACAAAAGCCCTGTCTCCCTTCCAGTGGAATCCAGCAGCTGGTATTCAGAAGCCTAGCCATCCTCTTTCAAAGTCATCTACTGTGGAACCTTGGTTCTCAAACGGCTTAGTTGATGAACAAATCGGCTCCCGAAGGCCAAAAACCCAGAAGTAAGTGTTCCGGTTTTTGAACATTTTTCAGAAGCTGAACGTCCGATGCGGCTGTCAGCTATTGTTTCCAGGGTGCCTGCACCAATCGGAAGCCGTGCCTTGGTTTTTGAACGTTTTGGGAGTCGTACGGACTTCTGGAACGGATTAAGTTCGAGAACCAAGGTTCCACTGTATTTTGGTAGCCACCCCGCCTCCTATCGGAGGGCGTTCCAAAGTTTAACAATGCACTGTGTGGAAATGTACTTTCTTTCCTCTTTCCTGAGACAGGTAAAAGGCCAATGTTAGCGGACTGGGGCAGTAAAACACCCCATCATTTCCCCCACCCCCAAAGATAAAGCAGGCAACTATCTTAATTGTCCATTTAAAGACATCCAGATCCACTAATTCAAAATATCACCTGCCCTACCCTTTTCACGAACTGCCTTCTGGATATTACAGTTTCAAGCTAATCAGCAGGTTCTGGATTCGAGATGCGGCACAGAGGCCTCTCACCATGTCCTTTGACATCACTAAACAACAACAAACCTCTGGTTACGTGAAGCATTTTCAATAAACACACAAGACGTAACCGGCTGTACGATTGAATAAATAAGGTATACTATTCATTGTATTAAATTCAGTGGCGTAGCGTGGGGGGTGCAGGGGGGGCCGGCCGCACCAGGCGCAACATCTGGGGTTAGGGCAAATCCACAGGTTAGGGGGCGCAAATCCACGGGTTAGGGGGCGCAAATTACTTGCCTTGCCCCGGGTGCTGACAACCCACGCTACGCCACTGATTAAATTGTAGATTTCAACAGAAGTAGATCATAAAGGTCAACGAAAAAAGCAGAAGACCCAGTGGATCAGTTCATTCTCTAGTCAGTTCATGCATAAGATCCATACAAGTATCTATTCCACCTGTCTGTTCATAGAATCCAATAATCCACACGAAAGGTTGTTACAGTTCCACAGAATCCTTTCACAGAGTCTAAGACAAGGATTTCTGGAATATTAGCCTTGTTTCACCAATCTGGGCTTCATCAGTAGTACAAGGTAAAGGGACCATTAGGTCCGGTCGTGACCGACTCTGGGGTTGCGGCGCTCATCTCGCTTCATTGGCCGAGGGAGCTGGCATACAGCTTCCGGGTCATGTGGCCAGCATAATAATAATAATAATAATAATAATAATAATAATGTATTATTTATACCCCGCCCATCTGGCTGAGTCTCCCCAGCCACTCTGGGCGGCTCCCAATCAAGTGTTAAAAACAGTACAGCATTAAATATTAAAAACTTCCCTAAACAGGGCTGCCTTCAGGTATCTTTTAAAGATAAGATAGCTGCTTATTTCCTTCACATCTGAAGGGAGGGTGTTCCATAGGGTGGGTGCCACTACCGAGAAGGCCCTCTGTCTGGTTCCCTGTAACCTCACTTCTCACAATGAGGGAACCGCCAGAAAGCCCTTGGCGCTGGATCTCAGTGTCCGGGCTGAACGGGCATGACTAAGCCGCTTCTGGAGAACCAGAGCAGCGCACGGAAATGCCGTTTACCTTCCCGCCAGAGCAGTACCTATTTATCTACTTGCACTTTGACGTGCTTTCGAACTGCTAGGTTGGCAGGAATCAGTAGTACAAACGCATATATGATATCATAGGACAATGGATCTTATAGCATAGTTGTATCTGCTGTCCTATGATATTATATATGAGTTTGTACTACTGACGAAGCCCAGGACGGCAAAACAAGGCTAATATTCTGGAAATCCTTGTCTTGGACTCTGTGAAAGGATTCTCCTGGAACTGTAACAACCTTGTGTGGATTTTGGGACTCTATGAACAGACAGATGGAATAGACCAGTGTTTTTCAACCACTGTTCCGTGGCACACTAGTGTGCCGCGAGATGTTGCCTGGTGTGCCGTGGGAAAAATTGAAAAATTTGAAAGATTTAAAAATAAAGTATTTTATAATTTTTCATATTTCTGTTTACTTACTATTTCATAATAAAGTAATTATAAACTACTTTCTTTGTGTTCATTTGATTCCTATTCAAGAGAATTACTTTATATATAGTCAATATAGGCACAGAGTTAAATTTTTTAACATTTTCTAATGGTGGTGTGCCGCGTGATTTTTTTTCATGAAACAAGTGTGCCTTTGCCCCAAAAAGGTTGAAAAACACTGGAATAGACACTTACACACATAGGGACCTTGTGCATGAACTGATTAGAGAATGAACTGATCCACTGGGTCTTCTGATTTTTTTGTTGAACTTTGACATCACTAGACATGCACTACACGCTTCCCAGTTAATCCTAATGTTTTTGCGCAAACGACGACTTAACATCCCAGGGTTTTTTCTGATGGAAGGACTTACGCCATGGAAGGCGGGGAGTTCGTTCATCAGGAGCTCTTTCATCTCCGACTTGTTGAGCTTGTACTTATCCCCCTCCTTCCCGGAATATTTGTGGAAGGTCGCGACGATGGTGGCCAAGCACTTTTCCAAAGGAGTTGCCATGGTGAACCTGAAAAAGACCAAGGGGAGAGCGAAGTGGGAACATCCAAGGGGAAAATAATCAAGGAGTGTGTACAAATCTGTAGGGTAGACAGACAGATGGTTGAAGAGAAGGGTGACTAAGGTGATCAAGGGTCTGGAAACCAAGCCTGATGAGGAGCGGTTGAAGGAGCTGGGTGGATTTAGCCTGGAGAAGACCTGGAGGTGACACAATAGCCACCTTCAAATCTCTGAAGGGCTTTCAGATGGAGGATAGGGCAAACTCGATTTCTTGAGCTAGCCGACCTGACTGTAAGAGTCCGTGACCAGAGGAGGATTATCAGGAGGAATGGATGAAATTTAAAGAATATTTAGTTAAACATGTTAAGTTAACTTAATTGGAAAAGCTTGCAAATATCAGATAGTACTTAGGATTTAAACGTGTAATGTGATGAATCAATAGGTTTAATACTGAATTGGAAAGGGGGAAAAAGATGTTAAGTGATTAAGTTAATTTTATAATAATATTGGTTTTGGAAAAATGATGTACACTGAAATTCAACCAGGGGGATACGAGGAAGTCACTTAACAATGTTACTAAGATTGGTTTAAATACGGTGGAGACTTATGTTTGTTTGTTTATTTGTTTGTTCAATTTTTTGGGGAAAATCAATAATTTTTTTGGGAAAACCAAACAAACTCGATTTCTGCTGCTCCAGAGGGTAAGACCCAAATTATAAGAAATGAGATTCCACCTAAACATCAGGAAGAACTTTCTGACGGTAAGAGATGTTTGACAGGAGAACGGACTACCTTGAAAGCTGCTGGACTCTACATCACGGGAGGTTTATCAGGAGAGGTTGGGTGGCCACCTGCTGGGAATTATTTAGCGCTGTTTCCTGCATTGCAGGAACTTGGACTACACGACCTCTGGGGTCCCTTCCAGCTCCATGATTCTAGCCTGTCAGCCATACCCTCTTGCAGGATACTCCATTCCATTTCTCTCCTGGTTTTCGACACCCTCATTCCATCTCCCAACAGCCGGTCAAGATTCTGTGACCACTGCATATCCTGTATCTTCTGCCAGGTTGTTTGGGGTGGTTTCCCCCCCATTAGGATCCCCACATCCTAAAGTTTTGGATCTCTGCAAACCTCAAGGTTCCCCCCAGAACACTGACACATCCTCCTTGTGTATGGCTGGTCCTGTTTTGGCTACATAAAGTCCCATAATTGGTAGAATGAATTTGCTATCAGTATATCTTATAAACAGAAAGGATGAGCACCGTGGGGTATACTCAGAGGAGACCTACTAACGTTAATGGACCTGAGTTCATCTCGCTCATGGATTTCAGTGGGTCTGCTCTGAGTAGGATGAACATGGTTTGCACTGAGACAGACCATTGATCCACCTAGCTTTTAGCAGCCTAACCATTAACGGTCCTTTTCTTTCCTTCCTCCCCGATCCTCTTGTTAAAATTTGGAGGTGGGCAGTGGTTTGAGCCTGGAGATCTTTCCACATGGAAGGGAAGCACTCTACCATTGAGGTATGGTCCTCTCCTAAAGCAAGCCTAGAGGACACACGGTTCTCCAGATGTTGTCAGGCCACAACTCTGGCCATTGGGGCTAGAGGAACTTGGGAGTCCATAAAACCTGGCAGAGCCGTATGTCCCTCTGTCCTGCTCTAATGGGATGGGCCCCCAATGCCAACATCTCCAGAACATCCTAGCATCCTTCACCACCTTTCCCTTACCAAAGTACAGAGTCCCATTTCTGGCTGAGTCACATGAAAAGGCATCCTCCCCAACACAGGAATTTGAGCCACAAAGAAGGGGAATTCTACAGAATTTGCAAACATCTGTCACTTGACCTCGGTCCAAGGCCCTGGAGGGCTCTATCGGGGACATCTCCTCTCAGGACTTCACAAAAGCACCCCCCCCCAGCTGTTTTGAGTTGCCGATGAAAGGGAGGAAGAGACTTACCAAGAAGAACGGCAGCACGGATTCTGGAGCCAAAGTAGAGGGACCTTGTCTGAGTACAGTCGATGGAGGCTCTTATACCTTCTCCTGGTCCAGCCTCCCAAAGTACCACCAGACCTGATTGACTCTGTATTGGCCAATAACAAAGCACATCATCTGTGGAGTGTTTTCCCTGCCCAACAGCTGATTGGCTCGTGGGGTTCTCTGGACACGGCAAACCAACCAACCGGCTTGTCCCTCGCCCATCCCGCATCGCCCACTGCCGCCCCATTTTTGCCCAGCCAGGTGTGTAACCTCATCAGGCTCCATACATGGGCCACTGGCCTCGCATCCTGACAGGTCTCAGGTTGCTGATGTGCCGCCCCGAGATGCGATCTGACACTTGAGCAGATCCCGTGAGGCGCATGGAATCTGATGGTTCAGTCGCCTCGCTTAACCCCTTCTGATTGGGGGAACCATGAGTAAGAACATCGGAAGAGCCTGGCTGTTCGATCAGGTGGGTGGTGTGTCTAGTCCGGCATCCTCTTCTCACAGTGGCCAACCAGTTGTCCCTGGGAAATCAGTAAGAAGAATTCAAGTACAATAATAATAATAAATTTTATTTATACCCCGCCCTCCCTGGCCAGAGCCAGGCTCAGGGCGGCTAACACCAATAAAATCACAGTAAAACCTCAGGTTAAGAACAGTTTAAAGTTAAGAACGGAGCTCCGGAACAAATTAAGTACTTAACCCGAGGTACCACTGTATTTGGAAAAAACCAACAACTGTTTCTCAGAGAGCTGAGTGAGGTTTCGCTTTGTGCAGCAGCCACTCCCATCACATTCACACCTCTGGATTGTTTGTTTTTTAAGTTTCTAACTGTCAATATCTCAAACTGAAGAGTACGTGGGCAGCACAAAGTGACATTTTGGAAGCTGCAAGCGTTGCTCATTGGGTAAGATTTATCGTGGCAGGAGAAAAATTGCACAAGAAGAGCGACACTTTGCAGAGCAGGTAACAGTTTAGTTAAGTTAAGAACAGTTAAGAACAGACCTCCGGAACGAATTAAGTACTTAACCTGAGGTACCACTGTACTAGGATTAGGTAAAGGTAAAGGTACCCCTGCCCGTACGGGCCAGTCTTGCCAGATTCTGGGGTTGTGCGCCCATCTCACTCAAGAGGCCGGGGGCCAGCGCTGTCCGGAGACACTTCCGGGTCACGTGGCCAGCGTGACAAAGCTGCATCTGGCGAGCCAGCGCAGCACACGGAAACGCCGTTTACCTTCCCGCTAGTAAGCGGTCCCTATTTATCTACTTGCACCTGGGGGTGCTTTTGAACTGCTAGGTTGGCAGGCGCTGGGACCGAACGACGGGAGCGCGCCCCGCCGCGGGGATTCGAACCGCCGACCTTTCGATCGGCAAGCCCTAGGCGCTGAGGCTTTTACCCACAGCGCCACCCGCGTCCCTGTACTAGGATTAAGCATGCCTAAAATGGCGTGTATAGAAGAAAACAACATACATGGATGTGTTGCATTGTGGGAAGTTCCTTTGGAAAAAAAGAGAGATGTCCTGTTTGTAACTGAAGGTTACCTGTTGCACCTGGAGCGATCAGAGAAAAGAGAAGCCCTTGGATGGATGATCCCATTCACATCTCTCTCTCTCTCTCTCTCTCTCTCTCTCTCTCTCTCTCTCGTTTCAGAAGGCCCTCGACTAGCATTTGGGCTGGGGTGAATTCACGGGTAAATATGCAATAATTGACTGGTTGATTAAAAATATTAATAATTAACCGTGGATTTCAATAACTGGCACTGCAATCCAAATTCAGCCTGCGAGTTGTAAGGCTCTATCTCTCTCTCTCCCAAGATCACCCAATGAGCTTTGTGGCCAAGTGGAGATTTGAACCCAGGTCTCCTGGGTGCCAGTCCGATGCTCTAACCACTAAACCACCGCTGGCTCTTATTTGTTGCACATGCTCCACGTGTTCTTAGGTGTCCCACATTGAAATTAAAATACTCTGAAATAAACAATATAAGAGGAGTGTGCTGGATAAAGCCAAAGGGCCATCTAGTCTGGCATCCTGCTCTAACATAATAATAATAATAATAATAATAATAATAATAATAATAAAACAACAACAACACCTTTATTGTCATTGTACAACATCTGCAGGACCCAAGCACAAGAGCACTCTTTCCTCCTGACATTTCTAGAAACTTTGCGTGATACAAATAATTTTATTTGGTCTCCCAACCATGATTTTACATTTGCGTTATCAATTTCTCTTGGAAACTGTGTGTTTTAAAAAAATATATTTTTCAATTTTTGAGTATGACAACATTCTTCTTCTTCTTATATATCCAATCCCAATTTGCATTGTTTGACTTCCCCCCATCCCCACCCCCGGTTTCCAATCCCCCCCTTTTCTTCTCCTTGCATATCATTATATTTCTCCAAATAATTTCAACTTCTTTTCCAATTCTAATTCCGTTATGACTTCATAAATGTTACATCAATCCTGCTAATGTTTTAACGTATTTACTGTGTTCTTTAACGTAATCTATATATATATATATATTTTCAATTCTTGGTTAATTTTTGGAACAGGATCACGGAGGGCTCATGCGTAGAATATCTCCTTGGTTCAGCAGCCAGTTTATTGTGTTTGTAAGAAGGGGAGAGGAGAGATTTGCACAAATTGTTACCTCCTGTTTGCATTAGGCGAAAAAAATGTGAGTTTGTTTGATAAGGAGGTGGCAGGTTGGGTGAATCACTCTGCACCGATCCAGTTTATAACAGGGAGGCGTAGCCGGCATTTGATCCCGGAAGAGACAAGGGGTGGGGGAAAAACCCCACTAAACAAAAAAAATATTTGAAGAATCGTTATCTCACCTTTCTGCCAAACAAGGCTCCTAGAACAACCTACAGATCAACACAAAGAAGACAGTGCCCTGCCCTCGGGTTTACAATCCTCAAACAGACATGGCACAAAAGGAAAATGGATTGGGAGGGCGGAGGAAAGAGCAAGATCTGAGTTTACAAGGTCTTCTCATGAGCAGCTGGGGTGGGGCATTTTAAGGCAAGGCGAAAGCAAAGGTCACTGGTATCTCAGCAGAGCTGATAGAATGGCCCTCTTTCCCTTCCCTCCCAGTATCTGCTGACTGATTGAGCGGCTGCTGGCAGGTGACAGCTGATGGAGAAAGGAGGCCATTGGAGCTGCCTTCTAGCAGAGATGATGGAGAGATCTTGCTTCTTCCCTCTTGCTCCATCTGCTACAGCCTGATGGATCAATAAAATAAAGACAGTCACTGAGAAATTGCACAAACAAATGAAATACAGTGAAAATCCCTGAAACGAGACGTTATCAACTATAAATATTATCTTGTGGAAATCAACTAAATAATAACATTTAAAAAAATCAAAAAGCTTAAGGATTTTTTTAAGAAAAACCTAAAATAGAACAAAGCCTTAACGTGATGCCAGCTACAAACCTCGTTTCACTGAACTTTTCAGTTTCCTCAGAAGGAAATAGAAAAATCATAAACTTTAAATGACCAAAATTCAAAGAAGGGTAGAACCCCCCAAATTCTGATGTATTATGATCCTAGCTCGACGTAGGTAAAGAAAAGTGCAGTAATAAAGGATTGAGGACTCAAGAGTACAATTTCTAATACTGAATTTACAAAAAAAGGTTTGAAAACCTAAACAGCAAGTTTTAAACAAAGCTCATCTTGAAGAAAGCAAAGCGCAAAATTCCAGTGCTGCTTTTACAAAAACGTTTAAAACCAAAGTGGCACAAGTTCAAAGAAAAGAATACAAGATAAAGCTGTTTTAGGTTTTAAACAAACTCAAGAACGGGGCTGAAACGCTCCCATGGTCTAGATGTTACTGCTGGTGTTAAAGACTGCTGGCAGGTGACAGCTGATGGAGAAAGGGGGCCATTGGAGCTGCCTTCTAGCGGACATGATGGACAGATCCTGAATCTCCCTTCTTGCTCCATTTGCTACAGCCTGATGGATTGCTCCTTAACGGGAGGGTCACTTTTTCCTGCCCCCCACATACCCTCATAGGGGACCTTCTGAGGACTGCAAGACAGGGGTGGGCGGGGCCAGAGGCCACCAAAGTGGGTGGGGCCACATTGGCGAGTCTCAACTTTTTCATGTGAGGTTTTCTATTGATTTTGCGAGGGTGACGGTGGCGTGAGAGCTCTTTGTGAACTAATATTTTCCTGCCCCTGCCCCCGCCTTGTATAACCGTGCCTAATTTTTCTGATTGTTCTAGCTTTCAGCGAACATTCTTTCTTTTTTTTAATTGACCCACACGCCTTAAAGAACAGATCTAATCTTCACAGCCTTGTTCTCTGTCACTGAGCTAGCAAATCATTGAGCGACACCACTCCCAAAAGCAAGATATATTAAAAATTCATTTCAGATAATGAATGGATATAATTGAAGGGGGGAGGGAGATTTGATCTGAAGCACAATCCGTTCCAAAATTAATCTGGAGTCAAAGAACTGGTTTTGTGGTGATCCGAGGTGTGCGGCGGGTTAATTGATTTGGATGGGGGTCTCAGTTGTCTTGCCACCTGTCGCTTTTTAATCTTGAAATTTGCATCTAGACCTACAAACCAGCGTTTGTACCTTTTTGCATCCCAGATATTTCCACCGCTTTGCCCCTTCCTGATTAAATCTTGTGATTTACCGCAAAGGGGAGGGGGGCAGTTTTGCATAGAGGGATAAAAGCTCGCTCACTTGGAAACCTCGATGCAAATGGAAATGATTGCAGAAGCACTAAACCCTTCCGTAAGAAAACAAAGGAGCTGTCCAAGGATGCAAATTGAGGATGCAAATTCATGTTCCCCTTCTTTGGATTCAGAAGTCTGGAGTTGGTACTATACCAGTCCTGTGCGCAGCCTGGGAGCCATTCTGGACTCACAGCTGTCCATGGAGGCTCAGGTCAATTTTGTGTCCAGGGCAGCTGTCTACCAACTCCATCTGGTACCCAGGCTGAGTCCCTCCCTGCCCCCGGACTGTCTCGCCAGAGTGGTGCATGCTCTGGTTATCTCCCGCTTGGACTACTGCAATGCGCTCTATGTGGGGCTACCTTTGAAGGTGACCCGGAAACTACAACTAATCCAGAATGTGGCAGCTAGACTGGTGACTGGGAGCGGCCACCAAGACCACACAACACTGGTCTTGAGAGACCCACACTGGCTCCCAGTACATTTCCAAGCACAATTCAAAGTGTCGGTGCTGACCTTTAAAGCCCTAAATGGCCTCGGTCCAGTATACCTGAAGGAGTGTCTCCACCCCCATCGTTCTGCCCAGACACTGAGGTCCAGCTCCGAGGGCCTTCTGGCAATTCCCTCACTGCGAGAAGCGAAGCTACAGGGAACCAGGCAGAGGGCCTTCTTGGTAGTGGCACCTGCCCTGTGGAACACCCTCCTATCAGATGTCAAAGAGAAAAACAACTACCAGACTTTTAGAAGACATCTGAAGGCAGCCCTGTTTAGGGAAACTTTTAATATTTAATAGACTATTGTATTTTAATACAGCGGCACCTCGGGTTACAGATGCTTCAGTTACGGACACTTCAGGTTACAGACTCCACTAACCCAAAAATAGTACCTTGGATTAAGAACTTTGCTTCAGGATGAGAACAGAAATAGCGTGGCGGTGGCACGGCGGCAGCGGGAGGCCCCATTAGCTAAAGTGGCGTCTCAGGTTAAGAACAGTTTCAGGTTAAGAACGGACCTCCGGAACGAATTAAGTACTTAACCCGAGGTACCACTGTATTCTGTTGGAAGCCGCCCAGAGTGGCTGGGGAAACCCAGCCAGATGGGCGGGGTATAAATAAATAAGCACGAGTCTCCAGGTGTTCGAAAAACCAGTAAGGTGGGATGAATCATCATATTAAGGGGCTCAGTGACAGAGTCTCTGCCTTGTAAGAGAAGGCCCCAGACTGAAATCTTGGACCGCTTCTGCCAGTCAGATCAGACCGTGCTGAGCTAGAGGGACCCAATGGTCTGACTCACTACAAGACAGCTGCCTAGGAACCCACAACCGAGAGCCGCATCCCTTTTTGCAAGTGGCAAGCAAGACTTCCTTCCACGCCACTTCCCTCACGGCTTGGCACTCAGCCTCCATGCCAGGGCGTGGCGCCTCGGGGCAAAGGGAGTAGCTCCATCATGAGGAGATGACTCAGCCTTGCAAAACTTCGGGCAGCGGAGACTGGAGGAATCGCTCGGAGGAACACACACACACACACACACACACACACACACACACACACACACTGTAATCGCAGCGCCCATCCCAGCTGCCTGGGGCCTGGCCTGCCACGGGGAAAACCAAGCAAAGCATCTGGCATCTGGAAAGAGGCAGAAAACTGGACTGAAACTCACAAACTTCAGAAACCTCCAAATGGATTTCCTGCCTAGCCAGGAAAAACTGAAACCAGCTTTCTTTGCAAAGGTCCTGCCAGAGGGGGGACTACACAGATTCCTCTGTCCCTTCCGCCAGATAAAGAGACAGGGAGCCTTTTTCCATTCAAGGGCCGGGTTTCTCCCAAAGATACATTCGAGGGGCCACCTGCCAGTGGCGGATGGATCCAGGGGCAAAGGCTGTAAACGTTGCTTATGTTTCTACCTGCACCTTTCTGCCCTCCGTCCGTCCACACAGAGTTGGGTCAGAGTTCAAGGACACATCCCAGCAAGGCAGAGATACTTGAGGAGGGTGATGAGGAAGACCACTAAGGGGGGAGTGGCCTGGGAAGAGTCCCGAGGGCCAGGCAGAGAGGTCTGGGCCCCCTCCAACACCCGCCCCCTTGGGCCTGAGCTCCCCTATTCTTGTC